AGGGCACTTTAAATATTCCATACCCCAAGAGAAAAAACAATAAACTCCTTGAGAAGTCTTTTTCTTTTTTCCCCCCCCCCCCCCCCCCACTGTTTCTCGTCTCGTTTGTCCAAACCCGAGTGCGGAATAACATGAATTTCATACTCAATGCGTCGGGAGCTGATGGACGAAACGGCCGAGATGGACGGAATGGACGTATGGGAGAAGCTAGAGGAGATGATGGGGAAGACGGACAAAATGCAACTGAGCCAGCCAAAGGAAATGATGGTGGAGGTAGTCAACAGTCCTAATTGACGTATTAATATGGTTATATTAGCTCAATTGCCCAGACCTAACATATCGACAATTGCCTTATCATTATGCTCCGATAGTAATCGACATAACTCTCGCCGAAAGGTTCGTATGCTACGAATGTATGCTTTGTAGTTGTTCGTAACTTACTTTGTACATTTCAAACATAATAGTGATACTAATAGTGCTGTTGTCTCTGTCGAGTTTTCGGGCCGTTACCGTGATAGCAAGTTGGGTCGTGATTATAGAGAATTCAATAGGACGTACCTATGTGACAGCAATAGCTGTTTCAAGCTAGAAGGTAAATGAATGATTCTCCAAACTTTTTTGGTTAAGAGCGAAAATTTTGCAAATGCCACCATTATTATACCAAAACAAGGAAGTTGGCGTTCGATCCGGAGTATCGGAATTATCTTAATTGATTAACCAATAGTCTACCAAACATTTTAGCACGTGGCGGAAATGGTGGAAATGGCGGTGATGGAGGTGACGGAGGTAAATATTTTGCCCGCATTTTTGCGATATACTGAAAAATAACTAATACAAAGGCATGTAAAAATCATTGCAGGGGATGGCGCCTGGGGTGCAAAAGGACGCAACGCTTCTGAGTAAGTCATTACCTAGTTTGGTATCAGAACAAACGTTAAATTAAGCATTAATTTTTGATAACAATAAAGACACTATCCCGCGACTGATGGAGGAAACGGTGGTGACGGTGGCGATGCAGGTAAGAGATCGCTTTCCTAAACCTAATAAAACTTTTTACTGGTATACTGATACAATCTGCAAATATCTAGGCATGGGAACTAGGTCGGGAATATATCAATTAGTTTGTATACTGTTTTCGCGGCGGTCTAACAAATGATCATTATTAGTGGTGCAAATGGTGGGAATGGTGGTGAGATTACGTTACGCACGTTGGATACAGACGCTGGATTGTTGATGATGTTTGTGGAAACATGGACCCCCAAAATCTCTTATAGCTTAGACGTTAGCGGGGGTGCAGGCGGTAAATACAGATTTGTTACGCTTCAATTCATTCATGGATGCGAGTTTTTGCTTAAAGTTACGAATTTGACATTCGATCTTAATAATTGCAGGTGTGGCCGGTCAGCATGGAGTACCCGGTATTTCTTGCATTGCATGTCATGTGATCATTTGATTGGTTTGACAGACTTTTAATTACGATTATCAATCAACAGGCAGAGGAGGAGAGGGTGGTAAAGGTGGATCCAGTTTTTCTTGGAGAGAAACGAGAGAATATCGCGATAGCAATGGAAAACTGGTCACAACAAATATAAACCATCATCGAGCCGGTACGGACCGTTAACAATGTCGAATCAGCAGTGATTATAAGCGTAATTCATTTGTTTGAAATATTAGGTGGTCATGACGGCATTCCTGGTCAACGCGGCCGACAGCCGGCCAATCCTCTTCATAATGGCAAGCCAGGAAACGACGGGATTACTCGGTTCGTCATTCAAGACAGGTAATTATCGAGAGTTAAAGGACAGATGTAAAGTTTGTTTTGCTCTACAAGCTTTTGACAATCACCTTTTACTTTTATTAGTGTTACAATGGAATCCGCAAGCTACGATGAGATTTTTAATATATATTTAGAACAAGTCAATGTTCGTTCTGCCACGGGGGTGTTTGAACCCGAAGCCGAAATTCATGTAGACAGCTTGACAATTCACAATGAATCTACGATGCCCACACCAAGACGTATAGTATATTGATTCCGTTTTGACAGTATGTAAAAATTTGGGGAAAATATCATCACACTCACTTTACGTTCTATTTGACATTTAGGAGATATTCGTATCAATATTAACGATAGCGAATGGATTCGTAACAAAAGCGAGATGGATTCTACGACTTTACCACACTTGATTGGCCCAAAAGCCTCCAAAGAAGTTGACTGCAAAAAGCCATTCTCGTTCTATCTTAGAAAAAACGTAGTGGACGAGCCGGGTATGTATAGATCAGAATTCGGTTTTTCCACATCCTAATACCCAGGTTTGAACTGATGTTCTGAACTTGACATTTCCCGCTAACGTTTTTAGGGCCACCCTTTCGAGCGACTGATGATTTGTACCTGACAGCGACCATGACGGGGCTTGAAAAGGAATTTCCAACTTTTAATAACAAAGGTCATAATATCAGCATACAATATCCTATTGAGCTTACTCGTGTGTCGCACATGAACTCTATGGTAATATTTGCGTGTTTGCTACTCGTATAACAAACATAACCTATGAATTTTTTCTCATATTTCATTTCACAAATTTATACTTAGATTGTTGGTACTTCAGCCAAGGTTATCTGGGGCGTGAAAAACACTTCCGCAGTTGATTTTGGTACCGACTCCAGAAATGGACGTTGTATTCGAGTTAGAGTAGGCAAGAAATCTGGAGAGATTTTGCCATCTGCCATACGCTTTGGATTAAAGCCACAACAACGAGGAGTTGGCAAAGTTCCCCTAGCTCAGACTTTGGACAAAGAATACATTTTTGAAATTCCTTTATTACGAGCCGGTCAAACATTATATTTTGAGGCTGATTTAGTAATAAGTGAAGCAGAGCTCTATGAGTATGCAGAATTTTGGACGTATTTAGAACTTGGAAAGGTATGAGAAAAAAGAGACAGCTTGATTATTGCAAACAAGTCAGCATTTCATAACGTGGTTTTATTTCATTACAGATTATTACACCTTCCGCATCAAATGTTGTCCATATTAACTCCTTCCAAATCAGAATATCGCAAATGTACAGTGGTTTTCCGCAAGTCTGTTATCCAGACATACTACTAGTCACCAATCATAAAACGTGAGCATCCACTTGATTCTTTGAAACATTTGAAGAGAAACGGCTTATTAATGTATACTGATTTTGATTCAAATCAGAACCCGCGATGAATATGCGGCATGGGAGACTTTGCTCGGGCAGCAACTTGGGCTCAACTTCTTTCTGTGGGATATATCACTAATGGGACATTTTAGCTTGACAAAGCGTATAAGTACAATTTTATCACAAGAGACCACATTAATGAAGGAAATTGTTGGAAAAACATTGATAATACTAAACAACGAGTTTGAATATGTATTCGGTGATGATTCTCGTATGGTTACAGCACTGGATTTTATGGTCAAACAAGAGGTAGGTGATGTGACCGTTAACCCTTTTATCTTTGCAAATGGCTAACATATTTTAAATTCGTATTCAGTGGTTGAAAGCAATCCATGAGAATGACAACAAGTATGTTTCTCTTATCAGTATTTTTATAGAAACGGTTTACCCTTCCCTAAGCTTACAGAATCTCCATTAATCTTTTACTGACAGATTTTATGTGGTTTACTTGAATGGCATCGTAAGTGACTGTGTTTCCATACTGCACGATTTGGGAATGACACCTTATAAGGCAAGACAACCGATTAAATACAAATTTGAGCATGTTGGACACGTAATGACACATTTGGGTATAAAGCAGACAACGTCTTTGAGAGACAAAGGTAAATGAAAAAGATATATTCGGTTATACGCTACAGAACGTTGATATAACTGTATCCTTACTAAACCAACAGGTAACAAAGATGACGTGGAGGGTTCCAAATACACCATCACGTCGTCTCAAAAAAGCGCAGCTGATGAGGAAGAGTGTAATTATGACGTCAACTTTCCAACTTTAATCAAGGAAACCGTCAAAGTACAAATAAAAGCCAAGCTTTTCCGCAATATGGAGACCCGAATAAGGAAAAAAGCCGCAAAAGTCGATAACAGATTGAAAAAGTCGCGTCCCAACATTCAGCACCTCATTGTTTACAAATGGCATGATGCAAAAAAGCCTTTAATTCGCACAAAAAAAAATATATACAGAAAAAACGGGCGGTGGACTAACAGTTTTCCCATCTTTGACAACTACGAAACAAAGAGTATGTAATAACAGACTTGGAAGCCTTGATTAAGTCCTGATTGAGCATTCTCATTAATTTTGTTCTCTTTTCTTTGTCTCGAAGATTATTTTTGTAACGGCTGCCGACGATATGGATCCTGTAAACTTTGTCAAATCACCAGTAAACTTGAAAGGAGTTATCGCTAGTTTAGGCATCGACACTCACTTCCGCCTACTGGGTAAAATTTTCGTTACTGGATTCGACGCTGATATCGAAGGTATTCGCTCGTCCTACGCAAGTGATCACCGAACGCTTGATGACGGAGAACAACGAATAGCGGAAATGCTCAAGCAAAAGGTTGTTTATGACGTTGCTCTGGAGTTATCAACGATTTGCGATGGTATTGGGGACAATTACTCTCTTGAAGACGAGCAGGTATGTTTTTACTAGTTTGATTTTTAACATATTCGATATTATAATATAATTAACCGTGCATTGGGGTGGGGGGGGAAACACTTGTCAGGTGTTGGAGATGATGGAAAACTTGCGACGGCTAGTTTGGAAAGTGGAATCGTTGAACAAAACAATTAGACAAATCGGCCTGACAACAATTCCGGAAGAAAGTGAGGATACTTCATCGCCAGTCTATCCAGAAGAACCCTATCAAGCACAGTTTGATCAGAATAATTACAATGAAGTGAGAGCGGCGGCAACTAACCTATATGCTGATCAAGCTAACGATTACAGTGAAGTGGTCTTGGAAACACCAACTTATGAAGACGCTATTAAAAACGACGTACAGAGTATAACTGCCTATAGTGATTCGCGGGAAGAGATGGAAGTCTTCGACATGTTTCCCGTCAAGCAAGGGACACCCCTTGGCGAGTGGATACTTGGTACGTTAATATATAGAGCAGTATGCAAGCCTGTTGATTTATGGTTACTGATTGTACTCTTGATTTCTTTCTTAGACACTTTGGCTCAGCTTTACGCCTTTGTTGAAAGTCTTAGAGCAGGAATACTTCAATCCCTCTTGCCGAGTAGAAGATCTGTGAAGATTCATCAACAATCAATGGACCTTCTTCACCGTATTGGAGATGCGACGATTGTTGGCTTTGCTGATCCGAGATCGTCAACCGGGTCGCAATATATACAAACTATGGCAGTTAGAAATCGTGAATTGCAGAGGGATGATGTAGTGTTGCCTACGCCAGTGATTGTCACGACTGATGATGAAAAAGAAAAAAGTTCAACAGTTGTTATTAACGACAGTTGCTCTTATGATTCACGGTATTATATTTCTAATCAAGAACAACGAACAAACAGGCTTTCCAGGAAGCAATCAATAATGTCTACTGCTTCTTATATGTCGCGTGCAACAAAAATGTCTATATCTAGTTCTTCTAATAATGACATGTCCATGCCTTGCCTTTGCACGCCATATAAACGGCTAGACCTCCAACGACAAAAGACTATAAGATCTTTTAAAGTGGGAGCGAAAGTACGACTTCGCAAGATGATACAGAAGTACTATACGCAATGGGAACAAAGTATGTAAATATTAATGATAATATTCTTGTCATTGCGGTTGCAAAATACAGATGCTCAACCTTTTTCCTTGATTTTTCAAGATGCGAACTATAACCTTGGAGGCGTTTTGGATCCATTTAAGAGAGATCTACGTCGGTGTTCCAAAGAAGCCATTTTTGCGCATTTTGCATCCTTTGTCGATAATACGTTATATGGACATAATCCCAAGACGATGAAAGACGAGAACATTAGCGGTGTAAGGAATACAATTATCTCGCGTTCAGAATATATAAAGCGAAAGAATGCAGAAATTGAAAGAGTCAAGAACATAGAAGATCTCATTTCCCTTTTCTTCGCTTTCCGTAATAAGATGATGGAGGAGCCAGTTAAACGATCACCTATATAATAATATTAACCTTGCGTTTATCTGCTACCAAGTAGAACTTAAACTGTAAGTAGATAGGGGAAGAATAAAATTCTTTTATATATGTCATGGATACATTAAGATGTTTGGGCAAGCGTGAAGCATGTTTATTATGGGGATTTGATTTTCATCCATCGCAAATTGCATTAGTAGCAATATCTATTTAGACATACGTTTGCGCTGGCTAAATAAAATAATGTCATTATTCTGACTACTAGTTTGCGTAAACAAATTCGAGAAATAAGAACAGGAAACATGGAATTGAGCTCGCAATTTTCTCCATAAAGTAAACGCGGTTTATCGGAAGGACAGCATATGGCGTTGAAGAACATCATAAGAATAGTATCCGGGTGGCTGGAACGAGAAATAAAGAGAACAGAAAACGATGGTTATTAATAGTATCGACTGTGAATATCTCAAAGACTTGAGGCGTTAGTTTACCGACTTTTTTCTTCCAAAATAAATTAGGTTTATAAATGATTTAATGCTTCTATCTCACACGATTAATTTATGGATTGTGTGACAAAGATTTTTATGCAGGGAGCCGAATGCTTAACAATATTAATATGTTCAGTTGGTTTCGTGTCCTTTATTAGGCGCAACTAAGGTGGACCTCTAAAGCTGCTTTTTTCACATCATACTAAGTACATGTTTG